CGCCTCCGCCGCCCCGCGGCCCCGCGGCCCCCAGCAGGGCCCTGGCCACCCCCGCGGGCTGCGGGAGCACCTTCAACGTGCAGGACGGCAGCGACTTCCAGGAGCGCGTCGTGAACAACCCCAAGCCCATCGTGGTGGATTTCCATGCACAGTAGGTGCCCAGGGACCGGAACAGCTCCGGCGCGTTTCCATCGTCTCAAATGCAGATATTTTTGCCGTATTTTCCTGCTGTCACAGCCCTTTGGGTGCCTTGTGCCTTCCCACCGTTGCTCGTCATGCACTGCTGGCCACCTCTCTGGGTTCAGGGCTTCGGTGGTTAAGAGGTGTTTCTGCCTCTGCAGTGAGATCCTTGGAGGTCTCAACTGCCTTGCATCTTTGCAGCACAGCCCTGCCGGTATTTAAAAAAATTGAAAAGACAAGAAAATGCTCCTGTGGGCAGCACGGCAGCAACTTTGAAATGGTCAAGTGTCACCTCGGTCTAAGCATTTCATCATCCTGGGGGAAAAAAAAAAAAAACACCTCACGACTGAGAAATTCCCATGCCCCTGTGCACCCCTTTATATAACCTTTTAAGAAAAGACACCTAACAGACAAACACGTATGTTGTGCTCCATGTGTCTCCAGTGTGTCAGTGTAGCTAATGGATGAGAAATACTGAGCGTGGCACAGCGTTGTGTGTTTGCACCCTCGTCTCTGTGTTTGCGCGGTGCCGCTGCACCTTCCCTCTCCTGAAGCCATGGTGTGAAGGTGGCAGGTCCCAGGGGCAGGTGTCGTTGCTCTCTCCTGCTGCCTCTCCAATCCCGTCACCCTGCAGGGCACAAGAGCTGCGCAGCATCGCAGTGCTGCCTGCTGCAGCACGTTGCACACACGGCCCTGCCTTCCTTCAAGGGGCGGCAGCTGATCACAGCAAATAACCTCATGAATTTAATACCAGTAACGTCTAATCCTTCCTTAATGCTCTTTTTATTACCTTCAGCCTTCTTTTTTTTTTAGGTATTTCTCAGTATTCAGGTTACAAGACTGAGTGGCTGTGAAGCGTCAAGCTGCCCTGAATGGTCGTGTTGTGTTTTTCAATTTTTTTTAATGCCACTTGTGCTTGAAGCAGGGCTATTGACAGCAGAAGCCTTTGTCGGTAGCAGCCCTGTGATGCCAACAGGAACACTTGCCATCAGTAAAGATTTTGTCATCCTTTTGCCAATAAAAATACACCTAGATGTAAGCTGCGGGATTAAGGAAATTGGATTATCCTTGTTTTCCTAAGCAGTTTGCTAGTCCTGTGTTGTCGGTATCTGAGCCTGTTGTGGCAGATTCTGGGCAAACAGCACAAATCAGCCTGAAAACTTGCACTCTAAACCAACCTAACAGACAAACTGAAATGAGCGTTAACTGGGATTGGCCAGGGGGTGGGCAAACTGAGAGCCTGAGATCTGACATGGAGAGAATGTGAGGAGGAACAAAGCTCACCAGCACTCCCATTTTAAATAATGATTTAAGAAAAAAAGACCATAAGAGCACCTAGAGCTTTTAATACATATATTCTGGAACTAAATAAGCTTATGCCTTCCTGAGCGGTGCAGTTAGAGGAAGCAAGGAATGTTTTCTGTGCACAGAGCTCTGCAGACTCTGCTACTACCGCGCTTTGGTTTGAAATGGGTAGTCCTCCTTTGGACTTGCAGTCCTCCTGCAGTCCTCCTTGCAGTCCTCCTGCTGCATCTTTGCAGTTTTGCGGCTATCGGGGCTTCTTTTGCAGACCCTGCGGTTACTGCGGAGGCGAAGCCTGCAGAAGGCGGCGTTGGCGTGGGCTGCAGCTCCGTGTGCAGCTCCAGTGCGACCACAGCGGCCGGTCGGGATGAGCACTGGGGAGGCGGGGAAGGAAGGCCCCGTTAGCTGGGCCAAGCGGATCTTGATGTGATTGAAGTGGCATCCAGAGCACCTTGGGAGTGAAAAGGATGCTTGATACCTGTTCCTTCTCTCACCTGCCCAGGCAAAAATTTGATTGCACCTCTGTGATAGAAACATCTTCCGTAGTCATGATTTAGGAACTGTGTTGCTGGCCTAACTTTGAATGGCGGGGCTGCGAGGGAGCTGGTTAATGTTTACATGCAGTGTTTACATCCTAGCGCCGTGGCACAAAGGTCAGGTTGGAAACAGGACATGAAGCAGTGCTAAAGGTGCTGGGGTAACAGCGAGCCCGGCCGCGGCTGCCCCGTTCTTGCCTCATCTGATGCCTGCCCTCCTCTTCTTCCCCCAGGTGGTGCGGGCCCTGCAAGATCCTTGGCCCCAGGCTGGAGAAGATGGTGGCCAAGCAGGAGGGGAAGGTGCTGATGGCTAAAGTGGACATTGATGATCACACGGACCTTGCTATTGAGTACGAGGTAGGGGGCGAAGATCTTGGGCACCTTGTGCTGGTGATGCACAGATAGTCTCGCCGTGTCTGCGCGGCGGCAGCATTGGCAGGGAGAGGACATCATAAGTTGCTGATTCACAGGTCACTTTTTATTCAGTGGGTCTTGCTGCTCGACTCCCTTCCAGGTCTGCTGCTTGTGTTCAGCATCCTCACCTCTCGCTGCAGAAATGCAGCCCCCCAGCCTTGCAAAAGTGACTTAGCATAAGTGGCTGCCTGTCCTCAAGGAGCTTGTAGCATACGTAGAGTTTCACTGTGTACACGGGCTGCTCGGGTATCGGGAGGACGTGAGGTAACAAGCCCCGTCTTTATCTGTTGTTCTCTTCCCGTGTCAGTGTAGGCAGTTGCAGGAATCAGAAGATCTGTTGGAAGACTGACCTAGCCCCTGCTGTCTCCTCTTGTAAACAACTAGTCTGTCTGCAGAGATGGGACATCCCGCTGCCGCCAAGGAGCTGAATTTTCCCGTGCGTGTCACCCAGCTAGGAGCTGCTCCCTCTCTTTAGGTGGCGTCCTGCTCCCAGGGCTGGGGCTAGCGCAGGAAGCTCCTCCACTGACTCAGCAGACTGAACTGGCTTGTGAGCGAGCTGGCACTTGGCTAAGCCTGGAGGGGATGTTCTGTGCTCTTCCCATACCCCGCAGTGCCGAAAAAAAGGAGGAAGCTGAAGCAGCTTGTTCCCTCCCACTATTTACCAGCCTGCGCTGCCCCAGCGGGTGCCCACAAATGGGAGGATGCAGCTTCCACAAGTTGGGCAAGGGAAGTCCTGATGCCGCCCTCGGTGCGAGCCTGCTGACGGATGCGCCGCGCTAGGAGTGCAGCCGCTGCTGCCTTGTTGCTCAGGTGCCAGTGAGAACGAGTCGAGGAGACAGAGGTTGCTTCAGCAAGGGTTGAAAAATATTAAATGCTAATCGGTGCAGGCAAGGTCTTGGTAGCAACTGTCTTATCTAAGGAGAAGAGAATGGAGATTGTTAGCTTAATTCTTTTATTGTTCCAAGCCTTCCTGTAGGTGGAATTAGCTAGGATTACAAGAGGATAATCTCAGAGACTGGAAAGCAGCAAATAGAGTGCACATATATAAAGAAAGATATTTAAAAACCCTGGAAATTGTTCCGTTCTCTAAGACCGATGACTCTGTTCAGCATCACGTGCACTTTCACAGGGCAGTGAGCGAGCAGCTGCACGGTTCCCCACCACGTGCACACATTTATCTGCAGGGTCTGCCCGTGCTACAGCTGTGGTGGGGTAGGTACAGGCCATAGCCAGGCTGTGGGGAAGAGCTGGCATCCAGCAATCCCTTCAGGAGCATTAAACCCCAACACAGCAAACTTCTGTTTTGCAGGACAGCAGAACCCTCTGCTCTCCAGGTGATACCTAGTGTTAACTGTTTTCCAGTGTCTGTGAATAAGATAGCCACAAATAGTTAGGGGTAAAGGAGGATTATTTTTTGTCTGGTCATCATAATTTGGGGTGTACTTTTCAAGCCATAACTTTCATTCCCAGTCTGTATCACACTGAGCAAATGCCTGGTGTTGCTCCTTGTTCTGGGAAGTTGCCCATTACAGACCATACAGGCTGATGGGAAGATACTAAGTCAGGATCAAAGGACCAAAGATGGTATTTGGAAGAGATGAAGAAGGCCAAAAAGGGATTCTTTGTTAAGCTTTTCCACCTGGGACCAGATGACAGTTTTCATTTTGGGGGTTTTCAGTGTCCCTGCGCACCCCATAACTGCCCTGCTGGCTGCCAGGAAACCTCCTCCCGTCCGTGCTTGTTCCCTGCCCACGCGCGCAGAGCCCGGCTCACTGCCAGATTGCACAACATCCTCCAGCGGATTCACTAGCGTGAGGGGAGGCAGGGAAAGGGGGAGAGACCCCTCGGGGGGCTGAGGAATCCTGTGCATTCCTCCTCTCGCCCGTCCGTCTGCCCTTGGCTCCGAGCTGTCCAGCGCAGCGCGAGGCGCAGACGCATTTCCTGCTGCCGGAGACACCCCGGGCACCCTTCCCCGTCCGGCTGTACCCAGCACAGGAGTCCTTTCGCTGGGGATTCCTACACCCTTTATCTAACACCTTTAATCTCTGACTGTAGCCTTTTCCCACTCTTGCAAGCCAAAAGAGATAAGGAATCCTTTTGTTTCATCTGCTGTCTCCTAAAATCCTTTAAGTTTTTACTTTGCCTTTCTCTTAAAATCCTTTAAATTTATGTTTTGCTTTGGCTTGTTGCCCTTTGCATGTCTACTGGGAAAGAGCAGTCCCTTCTGCTGCGGTTGGGCATTGCAGACCTCAAGTGGCCCCGGAGGGCTAGTGGACACAGGCGCAGTCATCCATCAACAGAGTTCATTCCTGTTGGGAGTTTTATGTCCTGTTCCTAAACATGGGTGAAATCCTTCTCCTTGCCTAGATGTGTAGGATCTCAATTAGTATAAAGGCCACAGCTTTGGCTGGGAGAGAATTCCCTTGGAAGAAGTGCTGCCAGTAATAGCCTGAATGGCTGCTTTTATTTATTTTTGTTTATTTGCTTATTTTTAATTTCCCTTATTTTTTCAGGGCTGATCAATAGCAGCCTGACCTTTTCTCTAGAAATATTCTGGAGGTTCTTTTGGTTTCTTTTGTTTGTTTGTTTTTGGTTCCAGTGCAGATTGGATCCAAAAAAGAAGAGAAAAACAACAACAACAAAAACAGCTCAAAGTTTCCTGTATTTTAGAATTTCATAATGCTGTTTGCTTCACAAGCACAAAACCCAAGTACATGCTCCATTAACAGAATGCCTCTTCTGCAGCTAGCAAGAGGGATGCTCTCATGAATGTCATTTTCTCTGAGCACCCGCAAGGAGCTCTCGAGGTCCTAGTTCCAGCTCTACAGTCTCAATCCCTGTGCCTGTTTGCCAGGATTTCCCCACTGCTCCGAAAAAGGGGAACTGAGCCCCGCATGGGGCGTCCAGCTCGGTGGTGCCCGGTGTCAAAGCTGCTGCTGTTTCACCTTTCTCTCTCAGACTGTTGGGCTCTTCTCTGGCTGTTTAAAAGCAGAGGATGGGGAAGGGGGACTCTGGGCATGGTGCTGCTCGCCTGACACATGGGAAGAGTTGAAGGGAGCAAGTTGGGAAGAGGCTCGTGGGTCTCCATGCAGAGCCGTGTAACCCTGGAGCTCAGTATTATCTGGGCCTCTCTGGTGCTTTCAAGGTTCCCATGTTCCTCACCTGGCCTAGTGCCGTGTCTTGTGGCACGATGCTCAATGCTGCTGGTTGGATACACTACTTTTTTGGTGGAGCTGGTGTGACTGCTTTATATTACCCCACTGAACAAACCAGAGGGAAGCTTTGGGGACCTTTCTCATGCAGGAGAGGAGGCACCGGTCCCATGCAGTCCTTGCACTGTTGTACTTGTGTCTGAAATCACAAGCGAGCAGGTTGGCAGCTCTGGAGCTCCCATTTTCCAGTGCTGCAGCCCGTCACTAGGAGGAGCACGCCTTGCACCAGGACTGGAGGCGGTGGCCCCAGCCGCAGCGCTGCCATCCTGTCAAATTAGGCTGCACAAAGCCCTGGAGGACGGGCTACAGGCAACCAGGCTGGACGGGCCAGTTAAGATGGAGTAGAAACGGAAGAACAAAATGTCCCTTTCATCTCCAACTGCTGATGGGCCCAATGCCAGGTCTCTGGAGGGTTTCCTGCAGGAAGGGTTTGAGAGCGTGGCAGATCCTTGCTGGCAGCAAAGTGGAGGACAGCTGGGAGTGTATGAAGGGAGGCCTTACTGGCTGGCAAACAGGCAGCAGGCGAGGTGTGGGCAGGATGTGCTTCAGGAGAGGGGCTTTGTACGGGTAAAAGGGTGCTGAGCCCACAGGGGCTGCAGCTGCCTGCTCAGAAACACAACCAGGGCTCTCCCTCGTGCAGCCCTCTGAGCTTTGACTGCTCCTCTGGGTTGTGTCCGCGAGGTCCGATGGTTCTCTGGTTGTTCTTCAATCAGCAAGTCCCTGGGGAGCATTGTTATTTCCACTGCTATTCTCTTGGGCAATTCCCAGGAAATTCTGTTCTGAACTAAAATAGTAGCACTTGGAGCACTGCAGCTGTCTGCAACTGAGGGGATTTCTCTCTTTTTGCCTAATTGTCAGGGATCTGCAGTGACAGCCACTGATACGTGACAAGCTGAAGTACTGGAAGGAAAGATGGGTGGAAAGGGTTGTTACAACTATGGTAGGATGGGGCAGGAAATCTGCCTGTTCAGTGATCGGCGGGGAACCATCCTCTAGCTCTTATCCTCTCTGGAGAAAAAAAAAAAGAGTCTGGTCGCAGCACAACCATAAAATATCCAAGGATCATGGCTGAGAGGAGTCCTGGAAAGTACTAGTAAAGACTGGGTTTGATTGCTCATGACAGCTTAAATGGGAAGCCTGAAAGGAGAAGAGGAATTTGTACTGGAGAGGATAAAAGCTTTATCTGTTTAATCTTATATATATATATATATATATATTATATATTTCTTTTAAATTTTGTGGTTTAAACTAGGAAAGTTGCACAAGCTTAACCTGAGCAGTGTTACTTAAATCAATACAGAGATAAGGCTGCAGAGAGGAACATGGAGCCTAACTGTTTTCGTAGGGAACATATTACCCTTGGGCAGTGAACAATTACTGTCTTACAGAGAGACTGAAGGAGGTTGAACCTGTAGCTTACTTTCAATAAAATGCCTTTAGCCATAGGAAGTGAAGTCCTAGAAGTGGAAAACAAAAGTCTTAACTAAAAACATCTTTTTCTCTTTCCTTGTTCCTGCTGTAGTTAACCTGCACTGGCAGTGGGGGCTGCTGAGGAGACGCAGGGGGTCTTTGCAGAGCTCCCTTTGGGGCCTGCGTGCATACTCAGGTCTCTGCCTCTCCTCCCTCAGGTGTCAGCAGTGCCAACCGTGCTCGCCATGAAGAACGGAGACGTTGTGGATAAGTTTGTGGGCATAAAAGATGAGGATCAGCTGGAAGCATTCCTCAAGAAACTCATCGGACCCTGAAATGAAAAGGTGGCTGTTGCTCTACCTCTGGACGCGTCCATGTCATGCATTCCTTGCCTGGGAGAGCCGAGGGCGCATGACCTGCCCGCCTTCTAAAACCTGGCGGTTTGTTCTGTCTGGGGGTGCTTAAGAGATGAACAATGTTGTAACCTTTCCTTCCCGCTCCCCCCTTCTCTTGGGCAGCAGTAGGTGCAGGAGGTGCTGAGGAGCGTGGCTGCTCATTCTCAAAGGGGAGAATGTGGCTGGAATCAGGAGCCCGTCTTTATCAGCAAAGGGCTGACGTGCAGAACTGCTGCTGAGTTAGAGGAATGTTTTTTCCCTTTGCCTAGTGTCAGATAGCCCAGAGCAGAGGGCAGTTACTCCCTGCCAGACGTGTGCACATACCTGCCCTGGGTGGGTTTGTTGAAAGCCAAGAATGCGTCTGCATTGTCTGTGAAACCTGCGTCCTTGTCCCTCTGTCCTCGTGTTGCTGGGGCACGTATGAGTCTCCTGCAGATCTGTGCGCTCCTGTCTTTTATAAGAGGAAATAGAAGTATTTTGTGGGTCTCCTTTTGTAGGTCTGTAATAAAGATAACTTTATTGATCAGTTCTATACACTTGGAGAATAAAACTTGATTCTCTGAAAGCCTGGGGAAGGGCCCTTGTCTCTCCACAGAGGTGAGAAGGAAGATAAGCAGATCAGTGGCTTATTTCCCATGATGGGTTGGGAAAGTGCAGCTTAGGCCTTGAGACAGTCCCATAGCCTGAAAGGTAATGTTCTTAAAAGCAAGTAAGTGGATTATTTTACAGGGCTCCCGATGCTGCTGCTCTGACTTCCCAGCCTGATCAGACCCCCTGTTGGTGCTGCTGAATCCAGGACTCCGGAAAAAGGATCCACCTGTGTGCAGAGGAACACGGGCTAGTTGCACGCAGCCCTCCTGCTCAGCACCACCACCCCCAGCACTGAGTGTGCTTCTCTCAGGCCTGTCCTGCCCGAGGAGCGCGAGAGCCTCCCGCTCCCTTGTGTGGATAATTAAATCTGCTCACGCAGGTGAGCCATGCCAAAAGGCAGCCTTTCGATCTTAATTGCCTTGACCTTTAGACCAAGGGGTGGGATTGTGTGCTCATAACAGCAGCAGCCTTCAGCCCTTCCCTCCTCTTCCTCCTCCTCCTGTGCTGCGGCTGTCAACCTGAATTTTAGGTGCTTTCCATTTTCCCCTGTAGTGCCCCATCCCAAGCCTCCTCTTGCACTTGCAGGTGGAGCAAAAGGCTGATGCTCACTATAATACTTAACTGCAGGTGACTTACCTAAGATGCATGAGAAAACTGTATGTGCTTAATAGCCATGTAAAAGCCTTTTCCCTGGCCCTGCTTCTGTTTTTTCTTCAATTGCTTTGAAGGTTTGGCTCTACTCCATTTTGCCTCTCTGGCAACCGGTTGGTTGTTACAAGCCACAAAGCAGCCTTTTCCACACCTTTCCAAAAACCATTTAAGGAGCAGGGGGAAGTGGGGCTCTTGGTTTTACCTGTTACGCTGCAACCACAGTGCAACAACCATCGCTGTTCTCACCTCTTTTCTCACCTTGGGCACCATCGGGCCTGGACAACAGCAGAATTTGCGCTGATTGCACTTAAGGGGATCCCTTACTGACAGCTCCAGGCTGAGCTAACCCCCTGCATGTTGCTGACCTAGAATATTGCTGGACCTGATGCCACTTGGAGGTAATTCAGCAAAGCGCTGGTGGTCAGTTGTGATGGGTTAAAACAACACTTTATTTTTGAGACCACCAAAGTCATGCTGCTGGTGTCCTGCTCGTGATTCAAGCCAGGCTGTTTGCTCTGCGGTTTGCCTCAGCGTTCCTGCTTCATAAACACTGGCAGTAAAGGCTGCCTCCATTTTCCTGTGCATGCAGGAAAAGTAGGGGAATAGCGTCACACATCCAACAATAGTCAATTTTCATGCCTTGCCATCCCACAGAACAGGAAAAAACATAGTGACTTTGCATTGTGCGTTTAAGAGACAGTGTAATTTAGCAATATTATCACTTCCTGCTAAGGAAAAGTGGAGCTCATGTGGCATTGAGCTATTAAAGCACCAGCATGCTTTAGAACACGTTGTGTGAAAACCACAACTGTTTCTCTGAGATAAATACTGAAGACCCACATATATGGTGCACTGTGAAAAATCCCTCCAAAACAAGGTAACTGGTGGAGAGGAGAAGGGAGAGTTTGGGAGCACCTTCAGACTCCCTGAGCGATTTGCAAAATTTTCACCATGGTATAGGATTTAAAAGCACAAAAATGTTTTCTGCAGGAAGATATTAGTTCAAATCCCTGTTCAGCGTCTGCTAAGGGAGGCTTCAAGGATTTAAACAGCTGCTGCTAGTAACATGTTAGTGTAAGTGGGAAGCACTAAAAGCAGTGTATTAAAGAAGGGGCTTATAAAGCCATTTCATGTCACCTGAATGTCACGTTGGTCGTTCCTGAGAGAGAAGATGTAATAAGTTAGTCTCAGTCATGGTTGCTTTTTTCCCAGTCAGTTGTTAAAATGTTTTCTTTGTTCTCGTTCTGGCAAGGATGCAGTTTTTTTTTTTTTTTTTTTTTTTTTGAGCTAAACATGCCCAGTGTTCCTCCGATCTGTTAAACATTTACTTTTTTGCCGCCCAGGACCGCCTGCATTACAACACTGCTCTCTGCTCCTACCTAATGTTCCCGGCAGGTATTTTAAGAATGTGTGGCAGTTGGTGACTTTCCAAGGGTGAAAAGCTGAACCAAACCCACTTCTCGCTCCCAGGTGCCTCCTGACCCCCCACCAGGACCCCCGCACAATTCCCGCACCCCACCCGTGCCTTTGTGCTCATGCCCCTGTGAAATGGACCTGAATTCAAGGCAGTCGCAGGTTTTCCTGCGTTCGTTTCCGTTGGCTCGCCTCAAGGCCTCGCGCGGCGGCTCCTCTCCTCGCGGTGTTCGCGGCCGCCTGCTGGACCCCAGGCTCCAGGCGTCGGCCCTGCGCCCTTCCACAGGCCTGCGGGGACGGAGAACCGCGCTGCCCTCCCTGCCGCGTGTGCCCGGCCACGGCCTGAGTAACGTGTGGGCGGACAGGAATAATTCCCGTTGCCTGATCCGCGGCGCACGGGGAGTTGGCTCCCCGCAAATACTCACACAACTTCCATGGGGCCGGGAGTTGGGGCTGGGTTTGGTTCCAGCCAGGTAGGGCCTCAGCAGTCTGCCTGCCTGAGACTGACAGTAAATCCTTGGCTTTATCAACATATCGTAGCCATTCCTCCTGGGCAAGGAAAGAAAGGAGTATCAGTCCCATGTGAGCAGGGAAACAGCCATCACTAATGCTGCCTAGGCAGGCCCTTTGACTAACCTAGTCTTATAGTTTGATGCCACAGCTTGTTAACCACTGAAGGCTTTTTCCCTTTTTTTTTTTTCCCCAATTAGTGATTATAGAATTCAGACAGAACTGGCAATTAAATTTCAAACCCTGGAAGACTTATTAGCAGCGATGTTAAGCTCAGTGTTCAAAAGTGTTTCTGAGTCGTGTTAACCACCAAAGCTACCCGTAAGTTAAAGAATAACAAGCTATAGTCTCATAACTTTGGGAGGGCAGCAATAAAAAAGATTATATAAATTATCAAAGTCCATAATGAAATCAAAATAACCATTACACAGCTCCATCCTTATTACCTGCCACTCCAACCCACCCGGGATTGGGTCCATCCATCCTTCCTGACAGTGCAAGAACAAAAGGAAAGGTGGGAAGGGTCCTGGTGCCCCAGTCACTCCAGAGCGGTGCCTCACTGCTGCTTTCCTGCGGTGCTTCTCAGGGACGCTCAGATCACTTGTCAGCCTTGTGGTTTTTCTGACTCTGCAGCTTTCTAAGTTCACGAACACTTTCCCTTTTAAAACACTCTCTCAGGCAAAAACTGGAGGCTGCAACTAACTGCCAGTGCTGCGGCTGTAGATGAATGCGATGCCAGAAGGGGTTGCTGTGCTGAGCAATACCTGTTCCCTCCCCTGTTTCGTGCCTGATGCTCTAGGCTATGAGTTCAGAGAGGAAGCAGTGAGCAGTTGCTCTTCTCTTCTCTTCTCTTCTCTTCTCTTCTCTTCTCTTCTCTTCTCTTCTCTTCTCTTCTCTTCTCTTCTCTTCTCTCTTCTCTTCTCTTCTCTTCTCTTCTCTTCTCTTCTCTTCTCTTCTCTTCTCTTCTCTTCTCTTCTC